TTTGCAATGGACCTGGTAGTGGAGAAACGGTCCCTTAAGGCCAATAATCTTCGGCGGCGATCTTCACGGTCTGTTGTTCTACGGCGGCGTCCAGTGCCCCTTGCTCTTTGCGTACGGCCTTCTCGAAGCCATGCCTGACAATACCTAACCACAGTGTCTACACTTCTTTGCACTCTAACTGCAATTGCCCGAAAAGAAAGTCCAGCTTCCCGAAGTCCCACTATACGGCCCCTATCAAACTCACTAAGTTGACGAAATCGTACAGGTCTCCGTACTCTAGGCATCGTAACCGATCGTAAAGGATGTCAAGAACCAAAATCCGCCAATGTTGATTCTTTACTGCGGCTGAAATATTCATTTTTAGAGCGTTGGTGAATTAAAAGAAAGCAGTATAAAAACCGGAATGTCCAACTGATAAGGCTGAAAATTTTTTTACTTGTTATTTACAGTAAGATAAATACATTCACCAACTTTTATTAAAATAAAACCATTTAAACTGGGTGTTCGGATTTATATGTCACTTAGTATATAAATGTGTGTCCAAAGATGCTTCCCTACCAAGAAACTTAAAAAAATATATCTACCCGGCAGGTAAAAATACTGAGTTAGGATTTAAGACGTTCAGTGAGCACATCGTCAGCAATAAACGCACAGAGTAAGTACTACATAGCTAGTACTTCTGGGCAAGCTACAGATACTCAAATACCAAGACAAAACATAACACTGCAATCAAGGGTTCAATCCGAGATACTATTAGCAACAGCAATCATACTAGTCAGAGATATCTTCAATTTTTGGCAAACCTGCAGAGTTCTACTGTAGTGGCAGCCAATTCAATTTTGATCAGTAGCATGGTACACAGACTTAGATGGACAGCTCCTACCAGGAAACTTCCAATTGAAGGAATAGGTCAAACATCTACAGAAGTTATGCAGAGGTAAATTTACACATTTCGTCTCGAGTAGAAGTAGATTTTATTTTATTGCCTTTGAAAAAATCACAATCAAATTACCAACAACCCTTATTAAATGGAACATACTTAGAAATGTAACTTCAGCAAGTGAGTATGTCAAGAAAAATACTAAAGATATTCCAGGAAAATATGTATGACAACTTTCTATCAAAAATTATCGTGGTGAAGTTAGCACACATTCAAATGACGTACCTGAAAACTCATTGTATGCAGCTAAAAGAAGATACCTTAATCTATAAAGATCTCAACACAGTTAACTCATCTAGTCTTATGGTGAGGCTCATGTCGCTCTCGACATCTCGAAAGCGTTCGATCAGCTGTGGCACGCTGCCCTCTTAAGCAAACTTCCACGCTATGGCCTCCCAGAAAAGCTTTGCAGATGGTGGCTGACTTTATCTCTGCCCGCAAGATATCCGTCGTAATTGACGGGTTCTCCTCTTCATCCCACAAAGTCAACGCGGGTGTTCCCCAGGAAACGGTCTTGGTTCCGACACTATTCCTCCTACATATCAACGACCTCCTTTCCTACAAGATCAACCCAATCCACAGCTTCGCTGATGACAGCACTCTACATGCAGGAATTCTGAGTGACAAGCCTTTCTTTGCGGATGAGCTGGAAAAAAGAAGACTAGCGACGACTTCTTCTCTGGCGAGAGACCTGGAGAATTATCACTGCCTGGGTACGCAATAATCTTGTACAGTTTAATGCTTCCAAAACACAATACTGTACTTTGACGAACAAAAAGCGTCCTAGCGCTCGTCCGGTTACGATGGATGGCCGAGTTCTGCCAAAGAGCCATTCATTTCCCAGATATCGTGCCAGATCGCCGAGGACCTGATCTGACACGAATACATCTCGACTATAGCGGCAGCTGCTGGAAAAAATCTAGGCTATTTAGGGCTAAGAAACACTTTTCTCCGCATGACCTTCTCACTCTATTCAACGCCCAGATAAGGCCTAGCATCGAGTATTGCTCACACGTTTGGTGTGGCGCCGCTCCGACTACATTATTTGTGCTCGATGCTGTCCAGAGGAGGGCGGTCCTACTGATCGATGACTCTCGGTACCGTTTGCTCTTTTCTACAGCTACACCAACGGGCTTTGCTCTTCAGAGCTCTCTTCCATGATTGCGCCGCGCGATGTGCCTGCCAGACAGACCCGCCTCCCATCCTAACCGTGCCTAATTTCGTACATTCAGAACTGGCCGATACGACCGCTCCTTTGTCCCGAGGGTGTCGATATTGTGGAACAATCTACAAGAGGAAGCTTTTCTCAGTTCTACTAACCTTAGGCAGTTCAAAAATCGTATTAACAAAATTTCTTTGAGATCATCATATCAGCCGCGGGTTCCCGGCATTTAGGCTTCTGCCTGCGCGGCTGCTTCGGTATAAAAAAAAGATTAGGTCAGGTTCCAACCATAATCGAAAGTCAATGAGGAACACTTAGGTCATAGATAAGGTCTAGCCTCGAGTATTGCTCACACGTTTGGGGTGCTGCCGCCCCGACTACATTATTTATGTTCGATGCTGTCCAGAGGAGGGCGGTCCGACTGATCGATGACTCTTCTCTAACATACAGTCTCGGGACCCTTTGCTCTTTTCTACCGCTACACCAACGGGCTTTTCTCTTCAGAGCTCTCTTCCATGATGCCGCCGCGCGATGTGCCTGCCAGACAGACCCGCCAGACTAAGGCCTCCCATCCTAACCGTGTCTAATTTCGTACATCCAGAACTGGCCGATACGACCGCTCCTTTGTCCCGAGGCTGTCGACATTGTGGAACAATTTACAAGAGGAAGCTTTTCTCAGTTCTACTAACCTTAGGCAGTTCAAAAATCGTATTAACAAAATTTCTTTGAGATCACCATAGCAGCCGCGGGTTCCCGGCATTTAGGCTTCTGCCTGCGCGGCTGCTTCGGTATAAATTAGGTCTGGTTTCAACCATAATCGAAAGTCAATGAGGAACACTTAGGTCATACGGGACATAATGACCAATCAGCGGAATACTATAAAGATGCCCCATTATAAAAGAGGATACACTAGTGCACCACATCATGTCAAGCTCTATACCACATAGACATCTGCTTTATGTCTCTTTACCCTTGGAATTTTACAAGTGCACGTGACCGTCATTGGGCTTCACCTTGTCCATTTAGGTACCGTATGATAACAGACAGAAATGCTCCCTTCCCGACTTGTCTGTGGTTGTTATTGAGCGAGATTTGAAAAATATTATCGCCGGAGGGAAAGGCAGTTATTACAGAGAATCGTTGGAAAAGATAAAGCACTGGCAACGCTACCTCTTGCTTTGAGCTCTACCCTGTACGGTCATTCCCCGCCTGCCCCGCTTAGGATCCTGAATCCTACCCCTGATTGATTCATCATCAGTGTTGTGTTTTTTCTCATCGTATGATGATGTGGGTCGTTCGTCCCGTATACCGTTGAATTGTTTCGCGTTAAGGCGGCTTCGACGCAGTGAGTTTCAAGACATCTACAAGTGTTCAGCTGCTTCGAAACTGACACTCAATATTTTTGAATGAAATTCATTCAGTATATTCAAAAGACAATTGCCCAGAGTGATATCGGAGAACTTTTTGAAATTTCGTTTATGCATAAGGTTGAAATGCTTACTCTTTTTGTAGAACTTCGCGATATTTTCAAAATGAGCCTAGTGGAAAAATGAAAAAGTGGCTCGATAGCACCGTGTAGGGTTTTGTTTCACTGTAAAAATTCCATACGAAAATATTAAAAATTAAAGCGTCAGTTTCCAAGCGCGCAAACCTCTACAAACCGGATTTTGCAAGAATTTTGTGTACTGTTTCGTGCTGCCAGCCCAAGCGACGTGGCGGTATGTACGGACTAAGAAAGGACGTATTCAGATAAGTTGGTGGCGTCAAACGCTGAAATCCGTCATTCCCTGAAATGCCTAGTCAGTCCCCGTATTGCCGGCATTTCAGTCAAACACCGTAACAACCTTATAAACTTCGTTACTGCATTCGCCTATTTTAATCAAACGCTGTAATCAATTCAGTGTTGCTCCAATGAAGTACATAATATAACAAGGTAGGGGAGACCGGGGCTGGTAGCCGCACTTTTTTGAATTGATTTTATGACGGCTACTATAATTAATATTTTTTAAAACCCATTTTTGCCGTGAAAAGTCCTATATATTTGCAACATAAAATATTTTTTTTTGTTTTCTTATCTCATATCGTTTTGATACAAATATATATTTCCTTCAGTAAAGCAGAGTGCGGCAACCTACCCCTCTAACGGGGTTGGTTGACGCACCACATGGGGTAGGTTGCCGCATACAAAAATGATTGTAAAAAAATAAAGAATGTGTGATTTTTTATTTTCTAATATTAAATTTTGACAAGAAAAATGTTTTTATTTTTTTTTTAATCAAATAGGTACATTTTTTAAACCTAAAATTATTAGAAAATTTAACTAATGAACTCATGTAACAAAAAGTAAAACTAAAAAAACAGTCAAAGTTATCGTTAAGTGTTAAACTTATAAGAAAATTAGGTAACTAACTCTTTAATGAACTTAGGTCACAAAGACTTAAAATAAAAAATATTAACATTTTAAGTTACAAACACTTCTCTACTCACTCATACAATTAATACAATAAAAAGGAGCGTTATCTTCTCCCACACATTCTTTGTGTGCCCACCCACTGCATGAAAAACATCTAATCCATTCCTCACCCGGACGACTGTTTGTAAAAGTATCAAGGCAGTAAGCGCATAGACACTCATCTTCATCGCTCGATTCTTCAGCCAATTGTTTTTTAAATACATTTTTCTTCTTTTTATTTTGTTTTTTGTTTTCTTTGTTATTTTTAAGCTCTTTTCTTATTGGAACTTTTTTGTTTGTTCATCTCTGAGTGCCTCTTTTATTGGCGTATCTGTCAAAATCTCGGTGTGACGCCTTTTTCGAGTTCCTTTATTCTCATTTTTTCTTGGTGGAGCTTTTGGCAGTGGCTTTAGCTCAAATGGACTGACTGTTTTTTTTTTGGGTGTTCACTCGGTATCTTCTTTGGCTAATATGTTAATATTTTTAATTATTTGCTTTTCGGGAGTTTTTTCTTCGAGCGGTGGGTTTATCTCAGAAGTTTTTGGCATTGAGCTATCACCGTTAAGAATTTCAGAATAATCCCGAGATGTTCCTGGTTGGGGACTAGTATCCTGAGATATTTTAGGTTTAGGGCTATTATTAGATTTCCTGTCAATTTCATCATCTTTTGCTTGCTCAATAAGTGGGCGGTCAGTAGCATAAGAGGGGAGAAATTCGTCTTCAGAAAAGATACATTCATTGAATGGATAAACTCCTGACACTTTAAACCCTGCTGTTATGTTCTTTGGTGTTATTGCGCTTGGCAAAGCTACGGCCATTTTAGGGACATCGTAGATGGTCATACTAGACCCTGGATGACTGGTTATCCAACCATCGCATGCTGTACTTACATATTTTTTTAAGGGCCCATACACTGATCTGCCCAGCGGCTGTAGCTTGTGAGAGCAGTGTGGCGGAAAGGACAACACCGTCACTCCATTCTCTTTAAGATAGTCCAAAGAATCAATTGATAAATGGGAGTCATGGTTGTCTAACAACAGAAGTACCGGCCTTTCTTTGGAGCAACCAGTGTGCTTAACAAAATGTTGATATAGATATATAGATAGGACGTCATAAGGGTGGAGCTAAAGGGAATAAGTCGAGAGTAGGCGTGAAAGTGAAAAGTGGATACAGGTTAGGTCCAGTTAGATGCAAATGTGAAGCTAAGGTAGGGATAATGAGCGTAAAAGTTGAAAGGGAGATTTCCAGATAGAGATAGCTAATAAGGATGAAAAGCGGTAAACAGGAAGTTGCTCGTCATCACAGTAATACGGGGATTTACTTTTGTTTTACCCTTGTTATTTTTCTATTTACGTGGAATACGAGTAACTTCTATAGTTTACATCGGATACAGGTGGTCATTCGCTATGATTATGTTAGAAGTTAAATTATTCATGCTAAGCTTATCGTTAAAATTACGTATATATAAATAAATACATTTTTGCGTCGCAACAATATGATTTAAAATCCAAAGTGGGGATGGTTGCCGCATGCGGCAACCTGCCCCTCAACAAATGCGGCGACCGACCCCAAAGCGTTTTTTAAAATACTTTTGCGTTTATTTTTTGTCTGGTAACTAAAGTGGTTATTAAAAATATGTTACTAAAAAATAGATTTCCGTAGAATTCTGACGGTCTACTTCGTTTTATATTCTTACTTTTACATCAAAAGTTATAATAAAAACAATAGAAAAAATAAATTCACTTACGAGCATCAAAATAACACTTGACGGCGTGCACTCACTTCTATTGCACTGATCAGACTGAAACGTTCCACAAAGTTCGGGCGCGACTTAAGCTTTAAAACACGAGACGCGGCATTGTCGCCATATTTATAGTTTTGGGGAAAAAGCCAGTGCGGCCACCAACCCGTGCGGCTACCAGCCCCGGTCTCCCCTACTACTTTATCAATAATATTAAAAGAAAAATAATCAAGCATGAATTAATCTAAAAGGAAAGAAGAATAGATTAAAACGTTGTCTTCATTATTACATTATTGTTTTTTTAATCAAGTATTTACTATATATACGAAATCCAGCAACTGAATGCTGCTGTTGAGCAAGCCTATGTACGTGTAATTTAGGTTGAGTCTAGGGATGACAACGATACATCGATGAATCGAAAACATCGATACATCGGACGTAGAACATCGATGTTTAGGCATCGATGGTTTTATGACGATATATCGATGTATCGATCATAAACATCGGTATACCCCGAGTATATCCTTAACTGTGCTACCATCTCTAAGCGAGGACTGGTAGCTTCTACATTGAAAGCCCCTGAAAGCTGTTTAGTAGTATCTCAATATTGTCATTACAGACATGAGATGGACTGTAGTCTTTTCTTTATTCTGTAGTTCCCCAAGGGATATAATAAAATAAACTAAAACAGCGCATTTACGCATTTAATGATTTCAGGTACTTTTGATAATTTTATTATATGCAGTTGTAATGTCGCTGTTTTATTGTTAATTAATCGAAATGCCACAAAAAAGTGATGTGTGGAAGTACTTTAAAAACTTGTGCACAGTGTAAACTATTTAATGATCATCAATGTGTTCTTAATTTTGACAATCTCGTATCTTGCAGTTTCCTATAATCATACTTTTTTACTGAAATATATTGCAGTCGGTATCCTTCTTTTATCATATCATAAATAAATAAATAAATAAATAAATAAATATCGTGAAGTTGCTGTCGCGTTTTTTATTCTTACTTAACGGTTCTGAAATCGAAAATAAAATGCGGTGGGAATTCCACCAACGGATAAAATGACCATTCGCTAAAACCGATAGCAATCGATGAATTAATTCATTGAATTGAAAGCAGAAAACGTTAAAAAGAAGAGTTGTTTCGATACACCGATGTATCGATGTATTTGTTCCGATATATCGAGCTTCATCGATATTACGATGGCGATGTTTGTCGATATCCAATCATCGATGTTTTCTTACACATTGCCATCCCTAGTTAGGTCAAGGGCGGATTCAGGATTTCGTTAAGGGGGGGGGGGGGCGGCGCAAACGATATTTTTCTACCTCAGTGGAACTTTCTAGAATTTATCCTATTATTGCTCGTTAAATTGTGTTCAATGCCAACTTGAAAAAATATATGGAAAGTACTCAGAAATCCTGAGAAAGGCAATATTTTATTATACTCGTATGAGAACAAAAGAATTACGTGGCATTTATAATTAACTAGTGTAATAATGTTAAAGATTAAACATAAATACTTTATTGCTCTGTTAACCAAAAAAGACATTTTGAGGGACCCCCGAGACATATCCCGAACATGAGACCGAGAATTCACGCTAGACGAGACAAAGAAGGATGTCTATAGACAATCTATAGATCGTGTTTTGAGACCGTTTGAAATTCAATATAGATGTTACAGTTATTCTTCAGACTTTCGTTGTCGAACTTAGATTTACGGCATAGTTTTTGTTTTCTTAGTTTTCGAATCGGTGTTGATCGCATGTAAAAATGTTGGAAATCTTTGGAAAAAACTATATATGTTAGATCGTAATTATTTTGATAATGTATGTTTGTACGAAACAAGTAAAGGAATACAGGGCTGTATACAGGGTGACTTTGAAGTTGAGTCATTAATTTTCAGATAATGATTGTAGAAGGAAGATAAACCAAAATATGTGTGTAAAAATAAAAATAAAAATTAAAAAAATTTTACCTTTTTTTATAAAGTATCCTCCCGACAAGTATTTTAGTGCGGACCTGTATTTGATCGTGCGGTCTTGGAGCACCGGCATGCCCTCCCCTGTGAGGTCTTAAGTCACCTGATTCACGAGCCCTTTGTACTACATTAACAAAGGCACGAGGGGTTGGTTGCACTCGATTGGGAAACCGATCCGCATAAAGACTCCCCCCGTAAATAAGAATCATGTCCACAAGTTCAGCATTTTCGTAAACATGTGCATTTTTTATTTCGTTTGAGCCACGCAACAAACACCACTATTCACTCAGGCGTTACCGACTGACACGTTGACGGAAAACAACTGAATAAAATTGTACATTGTAGTAAAAACATCGTTTCAAATTCTTTCGCTTTTTTGTTTCCGATGCGATGAACGGATAAGGCGGATTATATCCGTTGTTGCCAAACACGAGCACATAATATTATTATTGAGACAGGGCGGTACTCAAACTTCTAAAGGGCTATAACTTTGTTACTTTAATTTTACCAGAAAAATGTTAAAGGAAAAAAGCATTTCTTTTGATCAGATCTACTCACTGTTAAAATACATGACTCAACTTCGAAGTCACCCTGTATATTCACGTTTAGTGCAGAAGGTCTGTGACTTATACGAATTCCAATATAGCAACATAAATAGAAACATACGCGGGAAGAAATGCGGGACGTGTGGTATTGACTTTGAGCATCGATCGACGCATTTTCTGGACAGGCCACAGACGCACCGCTAAGCAAATCTCATAAAGTCCGGTTTTATTGGTGCAAGTTGAGAGTTGTAGAATTATTTCGCAAACCAGGGGTATTTTAGTCTAATATGATGATGATTATACTAATAGTGCTTCGCTGCAACACCAACCCGAACAAAATCACTCAAGCTTTACACACTTTTCAAATTACTATTGAGCAACAAACAGAATATAAATGACTTTGTAAGTGCAATCTGTAGCTAATATATTGCTTAGACATAGATTTGTCACAAGTCACAATAATTATATGCAGGGTGACTTTGAAGTTGAGTCATTAATTTTCAGATAATGATTGTAGAAGGAAGATAAACCAAAATATGTGTGTAAAAATAAAAAAAATTAAAAAAAAATTTTACCTTGTTTTATAAAGTATTCCCCCGACAAGTATTTCAGTGCGGACCTGTATTTGATCGTGAGGTCTTGGAGCACCGCCATGCCGTCCCCTGTGAGCTCTTAAGTCACCTGATTCACGAGTCCGTTGTACTACATTAACAAAGGCACGAGGGGTTGGTTGCACTAGATTGGGAAACCGATCCGCATAAACATGTGCCATTTTTTATTTCGTTTGAGGCACGCAACAGACACCACTATTCACTCACGCGTTACCGACTGACACTGACTGTATATGTATACAACTGAATAAAATAATTGTAAAAACATCGTTCCAAATTCTTTCGCTCTTTTGTTTCCGATGCGATGAACCGATAAGGCGAATTATATCCGTTGTTGCCAAATACGAGCACATAATATTATTATTGAGACAGGGCGGTACTCAAACTTCCAAAGGGCTATAACTTTGTTACTTTAATTTTACCAGAAAAATGGTAAAGGAAAAAAACATTTCTTTGATCAGATCTACTCACTGTTAAAATAAATGACTCAACTTCGAAGTCACCCTGTATATATGTATATATATACATACCTGTACGTATAAAAAGAATTGTGCTGTTATCGTAAGTGATGTCGAAGAGGGATAGCGTTTGGAATACCAAAGGATCCCAAAAATCCCAATGCTCAGGTCCATAGCTATAACTTATATACTAAGTGACATATAAATCCGAACACCCAGTTTAAATGGTTTTATTTTAATAAAATTTTGTATAAGTACTTAATGAAGCATAAGAAATCTCAAAATGATTGCACTGCTTTAAAGCTCTTTGACCTTTAATAATGTGTGCATCCACGCATTCTCCAACGCGCCTAGGCATGCTTCTGATCAGGTGGTCAATGTCCTACTGTGGTATCTCATTCCAGGCAACCACCAACTCCTCTCGAAGTGCTTCTAGAGTCTGAGGAGGACGTTGCAAATTGAGCAATCTCCTACCCATCATATGCCACACGTGCTCAATTGGGGATAAGTCGGGAGATCTTGGTGGCCATGATAAGAATGTGACATCATTATGTT